AAACAAGTCAGAGGAATTACATCACAAAAAGTCTTAGAGACTTTTGCTTTGAGGATGAAGCAAGTAGTTTCTTATATATACATGCAGTAGATGTCTAAAGCTTCACAAGATGATTTACCCATGACAAGTAACATGCATACAAGAAAAACTAGGAATGCAAAAGAAGTGGCAATATAGCTATTATTAATTACAATAGTAGTTCATAGTAACTACTATTACTTTTCATCTTCATATGATAGCCACTGATGGCTTATAAGACAAAAGAAATGGGATTACTTAGCTCAAATGCAATTAATGGGATTATTAAGAGAAAAATATACAACAGGAAATAGAGTTATTTCAGATTATGCTAACTGCTCAAAAAGAAAAGTCAACTTTTCTTCCTCAATAGTTTAGCTATTATAGACCTATTTCTTATTACTATTTAATAGCACATCCATTGTAAGGACACTATTGAAATTGCTAACTGTATAGTGAAAAACTGTACATGCAGAGTGCAAGTACTGTACATGCAGAGTGCAAGTACTGTACAGTCAACTGTACTTAGAAAATGCATGGCCTGCAAAAACAAGAAGTAGGGAATATTCTGAAAAGCTGGTAACTAGAAATGTGTAGTGCCCGAGCTCCACCTACAGGATGAAAACAAATGTAAACCCAGTATCTTTACCAAACTAAAAGAGGACTGTTTACTCTGAAGCCTTCAGATGATCATCTCATGACTGACATTTTACAAACCTGTTGTAATGCTGATGAACTTGATTACTTTGCAACGATGGCAAACATTTCTTCCGTCTGTATGCATTCCTTAATGTAAACAGCTGTTCTCTACTTTGAAGTTTAGGTTTAAGCTTTCTAATAAAAAAACAGCAGACATATGAAATTTCTCTAAAAATTTACCAGAATTACTACAAAATTTTTTTTTCTGAGGTTTCCTATCTAATACAAAATTGGAAAGTATCTCAATTTTTTTTAAAAACATACACAAAAGGTTCAAATGTATACTGAAATGACTAAAATTAACTTCATCATTTTAGAACTCCAAGTATGATTGTATCTAGAAGTGGTACTGGATCTCAGTACCATGAATTTGTGAAGGTGTCTATTGTTTCCATATTGTTTCTCTGAAACAGATGTGCAACCTCTGACTTTCCAAACTGATTTATATTAAAAGAAACAGGACCGGTGCAAATGAACACAGATATGTAGAAGTAGTCATGCATGTTAAGAGTCAGTACTCTGAAAAACTATTTTTAGGAGCTGAATTATTCTATTAACACATGTAAATATCCAATAGATAACAGATGTTTCTTGGACCTATGATATGTTAGTAGACATTATCCTTCAAGCTATGTATGATGGATCCAACTTTACGTTTGATATTTGCACCTCCCACATCTCTGCCTGATCTGATCAACAAACACCTTGACTACGGTGGGTGGTGAAAATCCCTTGAGAATATTATCAATCATCTCCTGTACACTTACAAAAAGTCACTATTCCAGACAATGAAACTATCTTACTTATCTTACTTATCTTAATGAATCTTACTTTATCTCATCAGACTTCAAAGTGAGTAACACCTTATTTAAAACAAACAATACCATGCCTTTGATTTTCATGCCAGAGGATGCCAGACAACTATTTGGAAAACAGTAAGTCTAGAAATTGATGTTACTTGTGGTACTAAGCAGTGTCTCCCAAGACTGTGATTCCAACAGCTAAAAATACATCCAATAAAACCCTCTTCTGAGTTAAGATAACCCATTTGGCTGTTACACTGAAGCCATTCCTGTAAAACTCAACAGACAGTTAAACTGATTGGTAGACAGGTTGTTGGACAGATAGGTAGGTAGTAAGTATGTACAGTGTCCAATGTCTTTTGCTAATCTGAAGATGTTATTTTGCTGCCATGTGCTTGAAGGCAGTTTTTCAAAAAAGCTTTTCTTGAGGAACTTTCAAATTTCTGAATCCTCACCTCCACTATCCCATACGACAATCTAACAACTATCTGTCCAATCTCCAAGACCAAGAACAGTTCATCATCTCTGAGAAGCTTATACTTATTCTGTATTGGTGAATTTAAAGGCTAGTATCACAAACATTATTAGGGTGCAGGATTAATCAACCACTGAAGGCAGAGTACTTAAAACCAGGAATTAACTTGTTTCTGCAGACAGGAAGCGGCTTCAGCACAATGTTTCTGCAAGACCTGTGAAAGAAAACTACCTCATGTACTCATCCCACATACTGACACACAACCATTTTAATCAACACATGACAAATATTCATGTAATTTATCACTGGGAATATGCACAGGACTAGTAATCAGATTTTGGAATCCAAGTTATCCATCATCCTCCTTGATCTCAGTATACCTCCTGTGGACCAGCTGTCTACAGCAGATAGTACTGCCACCAATTTCCAAAGCAGCCACACAGCACAACTTCAAAGATCACAGAAAAGAAAAACAGGGGCTAATTTTTTAGAAGATGTCTTGTATATGTCCTCTGAAACAATACCTAGCTCTATCTAGCACAGCCATGAAAACATGGCACTACATTTACTGTGATATAGGTGCTCTTATAGAGAGAAAAGAATGAAGAACAGAAAGCCAACGCTCACGACACAGTTTTGTGCTGGTGTACATAACACCACATGACACTACAAAGAGATCAGATTTACATGTGGTTCCAAAAGAAATGGATTAGCATCAGTTTACAGAACTGAACACACCGATCTTGTTTACCACATGAAGTTTGCCTGAGAATGAAAGTTTGTTGCCTTGACTCTCACTAAAAGTAAAATCATATGACAAGAAAAACTAATGCCCATTTAAAGTACAGATTTTCTTTACTATATCCTTTTATGTTATTGCGCTTCTTATTTATCTCCAGCTATTAAGTATATTGAGTCTTCTCTTCAGGAAACATAAAATTACAAGGAACTTTGGAAGTTACATCATCTAGGCCTAAAAAACAACTGACTGAAACCTACTCAGATTCGCTCAAATTACAAAGGCTTCTGTACAGTACCTGATTGCTCCTTAGATTCAAATCAATACTGGAGAAGATGCAGAAAAGGGCACTGAATTTCCTGCTTAAATCCCATGAGTACTTTACTTTCTGGAGCTATTCAAACTCTATTAAGTAGTTAATAAAAATAATTTTCTTGGCCATGTTTTTACTGGGCTTTTCACTGCTCCAAAAACGAGGTACACAAACAGTAACACTTAAAATTGGTGTATTTTCATATAGCGATGTTAAAAGATATCCAGAATAACACAAGTGTTTCTACCGCCCTAAAACCATGGCCTGCTTCTAAATATAGAGGCCACACAGAGTTAAAAACACGATGTCATGTGGTATGCTCAAAACTTTCTAACCTTGCTTTTAAAATCATATCAAATTCTCTCAGTAAAAATAATCACATCAGTACCCATCAAGTTGCAAATGTCAGGGTGGGATTTCCCTTTTCTTTTAATAATTAGTCTTATTTTACAATTAAGATAATGTAACCATAACTGACAACAGCCCCTTCTTCAATAAGATATATTTGGGTTTATTTTCAGCAGGTATATATAGTCATATAAAAACAGAATAACCCGCAGGGGGTGCAAGACAGGTATGTGAATTTCTAATGGCTGTAAAAACCTGATTTTGTTTTTTCCTTCTGTTTTCCAATTAAAGCTTCAATACATACTTTATCTCTAAGTGTATTACTACTACAACAAATTTATCTCAACCTAAAGCCTTGACCTAAAGCCTTTACTTCTCAGTTACTAATAGGGATGTTAACTGCTATGGACCTTGTGAAGCATTTATATTGACTACCAGGTATTTTTTTTATCAGACTGTTCTGGATTCTTCCATGTTAGCAGAGTGCCTTGGCCATTACATATAAAACCATACCTGCAGTGGGGGTAAACAAACAAAAAACCAAGACAAATAAACAAAAAACCCCAAACAAACAAACAAATAATGAAGAAAAGAGAATAGAAGGAATGGCTCAGCTCAGAGGTAACTGGTGTGGGGGACAATGTAAGACAGCCAGTACACATGCAGAATTCAGTATAGGCAAAGTCTAAATGATTTCATCAGGCAGTTATTTATGACAACTAAATTACGGTTTTGATGCTTCCTCCTCTTACTCTCCAGTAAGTTTCACTAAATAACTAAATATACACATTGAACTTCATAACATCAAAGATTTAATTGTTCAGCAGCTTCTGGAGACCACGTTTACTGAAATACGGGACAATAATTCCTAGTAATACTGGACAATAATTCCGAGTAAGGCTGCCATCAGGACCACTACACATCACGTGCATACAAGATGAATGTTTTTATGCAATATAAATATTATTAGGCAGAAATTCCCAAACCAGCTCTGGAAGGAAGACTGCCAAGACACAGGGTTCCAAGAAAACAAATTAACTCACTGAAAATTGAGTGTTAATCAGTACAGATGTTCATGAAGGTTGGCACAGCTATATTACATGACTGGAACCCACATTTTATGTCTTTAAAGAGCTGAATACCACTACTGTCATTTGAATACAGTGTTAGACTGCTAAACACAGACATATTCCAACCCACCAGGAACAACCCAGAAGGTATTTAAAAACTGATGTATCAATTGCAGTGTTGGAAAAAAATCTTACAACTGTGTAGAAAGACAAAGTAAAGCACAATAAAAACATATAAATACTCTTGATTTACAACTCACAGGGAAAATAAAACTCCCATGCAAGGTATCAACAAGTGCTCAGTGTAACAAAATACAACTTAGCTGTTTGGCTCAAACTGACAAATGAAACTAAGAAAGAAGAAAGCAATAGGCAATTTCATCTTCTACAGTTGGAGGTGGGTGGCGAGGGGAATAATTTTAATGTAATACTAACCTGTCAGTGTTGTAACTGCAAAACTGGAATTCAGCAGAAAAATCTAACTGTAGATAATGTGAAGGCCAAAAAAAAAACCCCAAAACCCCACAGTACTTACCTGCGACTTGTTGTTTTCTTTTCTGTCTTAGTTTCTTCCTCTTGAAGTTGCTGTTTAGCATTTTCACATGTATCAATTCTCAACTTCTTGGCAATGCGTTCTTTTATTTTAAATCTCTTATTGCTAGCAGCCTCATCTTCCTCACTATCAGCATCTTCATCATGTTCTTCTTCCTCCTTTATTGATTTAAAATTATACAGTTCTCCTTTAGATTTTTTTTTACTACAGAACATAAGAAAAACTTCCCATATTCAGAGATAACTCCTCATGAAAAAGACCAATATTTAATTTCAAAGCAAACTTTTCAAACAAATATTTCTTTATTTTCTTCAGAAAGAACAAAAAATTAGAAATATAATAAGTATTTTTTCATATAGAAATTATAACCTTTTTAATGGCTTAAAACACTAAACCATTCTATTCTAGACTGTAAACCCTTACAGGTCTGCAGAAGATCTCATAGTAATGTGATATTAGTCCCGTCACTGTTCATGAATACAAAATTTGATCAAGGCACTACATTAAACATTTCTTTTATTTTCCACTAAAAGATAAACAAAACTTATTAAGAACTTCCTGCCACAGGGCTATACTACAGCCATGATGCGGTAGGAGAGGTTCGCACATCAGTCTCCATGTGGGAATGATCAAAAGAGGCTGTGAAAACCTGTGGAACCACTCATCCTCACTTGCTATAGAGGTAGTATCCTTCCAGACCTATCAGAGGAGGCAAAAAGGGATAAATCACCTTGGTTCAAAGACATCTGAGGAAGAATCAAATTATTCCTTTCACTAATGAAGAAGCAGCCTGACCAGACCAAGCGATCTAACTTTGACTACTTTCTTCATTGAAGAAGGAAGCCTGCATGAATCTTAATGGAAGGATCTTTGGTCAAAGACTAGAAGGCACCATCTTTTTGTATTTACTTTGGAGTGATGCTAATTAGCTAAAGAAAAAGCATAAGATGCTATGCAGTTGTAATTTATCTACACAGAGAGAAAGGACAGACTGAGAAATGGTATTCTGTAGGACTGTACTGAATCCAGGAGACGGTCAGATGGCACCACGTGAAAAGGAACACTTCAAAGACAAGGTACGTGTCTTGGGTGTGACTGACAGATCAGAGGAAAAATAACACAAAGAATAACACACGAAGGGGGAAAGGGAAGAAATATAAAAGCAGCAAGAGGCCCAATTTTTGGAATATAAGAGAAAGATCAAGACCTGGATTTCCTATTTAGGATTCTTCAGACTACCATGCTTAGATTTTAGACTCAGACAAGAGAAGACCAGTTGGGAATAAAAAACGAAATGTGGGAGTATTCAGCACAGTAGAACAGCTGAATGTTTTTGTCAACGAAATAGCAGAAAGCTTGCTGTGGGAGCCATGTCTATTCTTTTTAAATGAAGAAAAATGGAAAAGGATCAGCATTTCACTGAATTTCCCAGAAAGTTAGTTTGACAGGGGAAAAAATGAAAATTCCCAAAAGGTATGCTTACTTGATTAAGTGTCAGTGAGACGGAATGACAATAGACCTCAGTGGTAGGGGGCAGAGTACAGAAAAGGAATTTGACAGGACTGAGTTCGAAGTGCTTAAGAGTCAAGGGTAAAGACAGACTCCTGGTGGAGATTTGGTCAGGGCATCAGTAAGAGCATTTCCCTGAAGCACAGAGTTAGATGGGAGAATTTCTAAAATAAAAATGGACAATTCTAGACAAACTACAGTGGCCAGGTAGTAGCTAATTAAAAATTACAGAAATCTGAGTAACAGAAGGGGGGTTCCATTGTGGTATTTTAAAATGGGAGAGCTAAAATGGTTCAACTTGTCCAAATCAACTGAATGCCCTACTTCCTGAACCTTCCATTCCCCTCATTCTGCACAGGATTTCACCAGTTTTATTCTAGAAAAACACCTGACAAAATAAGATTATAACCTTCCTCCTCAGCCCCTTCTCTCCTGCAACTCTACTCTCTTCTCCTGCCCAATCTCCTCCTTCCGTCCCTCTTCTGTCTCATTAATATCATCTAATCTCCTACCTTTTAGACTCTCATTTCTCTGAAGTCTCATTACCAACTAAGATATTTAACACATTTCCAGACAGAGTGGAATACAGGACATCTCAGCTGTTCGGTTCCATGATGGTGTTCCTCTAGTGACAAAAGCAAAGTGGCCTTCCCAGAAATGGGAAAAGGAAGAATATCACTGATGTGACAAAAAATATTCAGTCTTATGAATATATTTCATATGTCTTCATTAATGACTTAGGCACGAAAAGAAGTTTAACACACTGTTAAATGACGTACTATTAATAGAAAGGATCCAGATCTCAAAGCATGAAATGTATGCCCTTGAGGACTGGAGTAAGAGAAGAAGGATAAGATGTAATAGCATGAACAGCAAGGTCAGGTACTTAGTGAATAACAAGAGCTTCTCTTACACACTAGGGACTTGTTATCTGGGGAGGTAGGGAGATCTGGAAGAATTAGTTGCTCGTAGGATGGCTATAAAACTACCAATGAGTTACAGCCGTGTAAATGAAAAAGTGATCCTGTGATGTGTTAACTGAAGTAAATACAAGAGAGATGATAAAATACTATTACTGCTTTACAAGGATCACATAACTGCCTGAAATGTTAGATTCTAGCTAAGGCTTGTAGTGACAGGACAGGGTATAATGTGTTTAAACTGAAAATAGGTAGATTTAGATTGGACATCAGGAAGAAATTCTTCACGAAGAGGGTGGTGAAGCACTGGAACAGGTTGCCCAGAGAAGCTGTGGATGCCCCATCCCTGGAAGTGTTCAAGGCCAGGTTGGAGGAGGATTTGAGCAAACTGGTCTAGCAGAAGGTGTCCAACAACCGGAAACAGGTTGGAATCAGGATTTTTTTTTTTTTTTCTTTTTGAGGGGTGGGGGGACAAGCATGGGATAGATTGTGTCCTTCCTTTACTTCCACAGCGCATCAAATAACAGTGGAGTACCTGTGCATGGTAGATAGATACGGAAAACTATACTTCAAGATTCAGTCTGGAGAATCACAGATGACATTCCTAGTAATTCAGCCAGCAACCTTACTCTGCACCATTCCTGTCTTCAAGAGGTGAGTCTCTTCATTAATACAATTTCAGTGATAAATATTCACTGAAATTTTGTTTCCTTGAAGAAATCTTTCAGGACTCTCACTTATACATAGATTTCCCCTCAGACACTGAAATTATATCATTATTCATGACAAACTTGACTCTTTTTTTTTAAAAAAACACAAGGAATTTCAGGACTTTTGTTAATGGTTTGCTGCTCTGTGGTATGTAACATCCCATATACCTAAGCAACTGACCGAAATATCTGGTAAGTAGTTTTTATAAAATGCAGTAGGTAGTATGCAACGCTAAGTCCACGCTCCTGTGAATGTCCACAATGGCCAAACCTCAGAACTCTGAATAGGCCTCCAGCCTTTTGCTGGAAATCTGACTTGATCTAGTTTTCCAAAATCTCTAAAGTAGCACTTGTTTCCCTATGACAATCTAATTACCAGACAGTAAAAACCAAAGACTTATTTGTAAAAAAACCACCCCAAATGTTACTTACCTCACTCAAATCCCTTTCTTCACTTGATGCTTCACTAAAAGAAGAAAAAATAACCATAACTACATTGAAGTACCAGAGGAGATTTAAAATACTGTTTAAAAAAACCCCAGTCCTTAAATAAAAAAATTGTTCAGTTAACTATTTGAAATTTTAGTCAACCTATTCATTTATATCAACCTCACGTTCACGTTAGAAGTATCAATGAACAGTATTTTCTGTCATTTGACTGTCATAATCCTTTATAATTAGAAATGTTTAAAAACACAAGACAAAACCACACAATGGATAAATCCTAACCATATCTTGAGCTATCCAGACAAAACACTAATGTATAACGTTAAAAGAATAAGAAAACAACAAAACTCAATTAATATGGATGGTTTTGATCTCATATATTAAACAATTTCTAGCATTTCATTGTGAATAGTCTAAATTTTGGAAAGCCTTCTTTACATTGCATGTCTGACATGCACTATACTGATAACTAAGCTTAACATCAAAATTTTCATTTGTTATACAGGTACAGTTAGATGTATTAAAAAAGGAATCCATTTGAACATACCAAGTCTAACACATCCACTGTTATTTATCACAAACTAATAATAAAGACCACTGAAGATTTTTCCATCCCACAACTTGAAAAAGAAGTTATGTTAAAGAAACAACTAAAAGGCTATTAAAGGAGTTTTCAAATCCCAGGTTTTGAGGTGTACTCTAAGCCACCAATAAATAATCAAGCTCATCAAAGAAATCATAAATTTGTTGGAACAAATTACATTAATTTCATCTAAAAAATAATCCAGAAAACTCTCTGTGGAAGTATTTCTTAATAGAAGATCATAATTTAAAAAAAAAAATCCAAAACATTAATAAATTAAAGCAAATGCTTAAAATGCATCCAGGTCTGTAATTCTGATGCGAGTCCAGATCAAGTAGAAGTCACCATAAAAGGTAAAATTCCCTACTTGGGATTTGTGGCATTGCTATAAAGGGAACTACCTTACCAACCTCTGAGTGTCTTCAAGGGGCTATACATGGTTGTGGATGATCTCTCTGATTATCTGGTTCACATATCTCTAACAAAACATCTCAAGAATCTCTAACAAAAGGTTTTTAAGGAAACTGAATAGTCCTGGAGTGATGGTAAAGTCCATTCATAAGTAAGTAGATGGTTAAAAGACAGGAAACAGAAGTTAGAGGAAAACAATCACTTCTTGCAGTGGAGGAAGATCGATAGCATATATCCACAGTAGTTAGTGTTGGGGCTTGAGCTGTTCAGTGAGCTCAGTAACAAAGCAGACAAGCAGCCAGGTCACCAAGATTTTTCATAATACTAAGTTACTCAAATACTAAGTTACTGAGGATAGTAAAGATAAGAGTTTGAAGAATTGCAGAAGGATCTGAATGAGAAATAAAATTAAAGATGAAATTTGAAGTAGATAAAAGTAAAGCTAGGCACTTGAGGAAAAGGAGTCCCAAAGACAGAACAAGGACCTCCCAGATGACCATCACTGAACATGATGTGCCCCTCTAGGGTCCACACTGGGAACAGAACTGTTTAATATCTTAGTCAGTGACACAGACAGTGGGATCCAGTGCACCCTCAGCAAATTTGCAGATAACACCAAGCTGAGTGGTGCAGTAGATGCACCTGAGGGATGGGATGCCATCCAGTGGGACCTGGACAAGCTCAAGAAGTGGGCCCCTGTGAATGTCAGGGGATTCAACAAGGCCAAGTGCCTGGTGCTGCACATGGGTTGGGGCAACCCCCAGTATCAATACAGGCTAGGGAAGAAACGGATTGAAAGCAGGCTTACCAAGAAGGGCTTGCAATGTGTGCACACAGCACAGAAAGCCAAGCATATCCTGGGCTACATAAAAAGAAGTGTAGCCAGCAGGCCGAAGAAGGTGATTCTGCTCCTGTACTCCCCTCTTTCGAGACCCCACCTGGAGTACTGTGTCCAGTTCTGGGGCCCCCAACATAAGAAGGGCACAGACCTGCTGGAGCAGGTCCAGAGAAGGGCTACAATAGTATCAGAGGGCTGGAGCTGCTTGAGGAAAGGCTGAGACAGCTGGGGTTATTCAGCCTGGAGAAGAGAAGGCTCTGCAGAGACCTTACGGCAGCCTTTCAATACTTAAAGGGGCAGATGTTTTAGTAGGGCCTGTAGCATTAGTGCAAGGGGTTATAGTTTTAAACTAAAGGAATGTATATTCAGACTAGATATAAGGAAGAAATTTTTTACAATGAGGTTGGTGAAACACTGGAACAGGACGCCATGAGTGGTGGTAGATTCTCCATCCTTGGAAACATCCAAGGCCAGGCTGGACATGGCTCTGAGCAATCTCACATAGTGGAAGATGTCCCTGCTTAAGGCAGGGGGTTTGGAATAGATGACCTTTAAAGGGCCCTTCAAACCCAAACCATTCTTTGATTCTATGATAAGCAAATTCTATGAGTTGATATATTTTCATGGAATTGACTCAGCTGAATACTCAGCAGTGATTAATAAAGCAAATCAGAAGTTAAGCAGTATTAAGATGAAATAGAGAAGAAAACAGAGACCATCGTTACGCAAGAATACACATTTATTATCCACATAATTTTTAAAATGTTGTTTAGTTTAAAAAAAAAAAATAGAAGAGTAGTTGGGAAGAGCAGCAAGAATAACCACAAGTACAGAAAAACTTTTGTGTGAAGGGGAGTAGACTTAAAGTTAAGGCTAGAAAAGACGGCCTAAGAAGGGATTGTGGTAAAGAGAATTATAAAGAGAATTTTAAAGGGGACTCTGACTGCTCAATATTTCTTCCAGCATAAGTTAGAATTTATCAAATGATGCCAGTACAAGTCAGGTTCAGAACAAAAAGGGGAGATAGGAGCGTGTGAATGTGAATAATATTACAAGAGACTGAGTAAGTACCTTGATGTGAGCTCTATTACTAAACAGATGAACCATATCAAACTCGGACAGTCCCCTGAGCTGAAAGTAGATGGAGGATGGGAGACTACTCACGTAAACCTTATGCTTGCCCTGCTTTTATTGTTTGTTAGGCATCCACTGATGGCCAACAGTGGTGACAGCATAGTGGGTTAGAGGAGTATTTGGTCTGATCCAGCACTGCCATTCTTAATTTCTTAAAAGGTAACAGACAAAAAATGAATGTACATTATGCTAATTAGGTCTAACATCCTGAAAGTAAATCTCTTCTGGAAATTGGAAACGACATATTAACCTTTTGACAGCAGGAACTGAGCTTAGATGTGGATCATCCTTCAGTAGATCGTGACTACTTTTACTTTTTCCCTTCATGCTCTGTTAAAAAACAAACAAAAAAGGTATTATAAGTTGTGTTTGAAGGAATATATGGTAAAAAATAATGATGGTAAGAAAAAGATTTGCTTCTTGATAGCTTTATGCTAACCAGTGAGCATAAACACTTCTAATAGCAGACAAACAGAGCAAGCATTCCAGAAAAGAGGAGAATCAAATTCATGCCATGGATTTAAAAAGTATTTTTAAAATAGCAATGCACTTAATTTTAAAGGAAAGAGGAAAAAAAAGAAAAAAAATAAAAGAGGTATTTTAATCCTCACAATCATTACACATCATAAAGATCCATGGTCTAGCACATATATACTTGAGTGAAAGAAGATGTAACACTTTAACTTGACTGTCCAATAATGATATATGACAACTCAAAGAATTACCGTGTATAAAGTGGTACTTAGCAACTGGTAGAACACTAATTAGACCCCTAGGGAAAAAAAAAACCAAACCTACAACCAAAAATTAACAACCTGAAGTACATCAATCTGTGATACATCATGCAGGAATCATCTACTGAAGCAAGCAGCCAAATAAATCTAACAACACGAGAGATCTTCGGGCAGAAAGACAGCAGTAAGAAAGCATTCCCTATGCTAATCCAAAACGTACACTTAAATTTCAGACTGAAATCAGACAGAAGATCTCTGTTACAGAAACAGCCTGTATTGTGACCTGAATGTCTTCATTTGAGCAGCATTTTATAAAATCCTTTTAGGAAGACAGTAGTTCTGTGGTTAATAAAATCTTACTCATTTAAACACAACTTAAATTTTTTATTATGTAGAAAAAAAAGACTAACACATTCAGCAACATGAAAAATTACTCCCTTCAACAAGTAATTTCTGTGTGTGTTCAGGAGCTAGATAAAACATAAGACAGGTGCTTATCACCTCTGTAAACTGCTCCAAACAAGCAGAGGCAATTAAATGAGCAGTTTGGACACTGAAAGCTTCAGTTTAAACACTAATCAACAACAACTGGAGGCCCCAGTGACAAGTCCCTGAGAGCATTAACAGCCTTAGTGGCCTTGAGGAGTTTTACCTGGAGGTCCTCTGCCCATGAGCACCACTTCAGCTCAGGCCTGAGAACCCACTTACGGCTTGCACTACATCAGGGGTGTACTTCTGTTGAACCGGATGGGCCTGTTGGACCCACATTGTAGATCCTGGCCTGTCTCCAGTCCCATCTCTTGCCTCTCCTGACTGGACTCGCTGGATGCAGACTTTTGTCTTGGTCACTGCTTGCCGTGTCTGGGACTGCTGATGGACCCTGTTACCATCAACCAACTTTGTCTACTATATCCAGACCCTGTGGGATTGTGTCCCTGCTGGTGAGTGCGCTGCCTGTGCTGGAATCACTCTTGTCCAGTCATCCGCCCTCCCTCATGCAGCCATTCTGCTTTTGCCACTCCTTGACATAAACTTCCCTAACCCTGTTATCTCTGCCTTCTATAACGTCCTGGTGTACACAAATTCTCTTTTTAAGACTCATACTCTATAATATAACCGTTTCAGACTCTCCTGATACAGAAGACACAAATTGACTTGTAACTTTTTAAAAGATGCCAATGGCCTTAATTCCTTGTTTAATCTCCTTTCAAAAGTATTTATACTTCTGACTTTAATCATGTTCTGTGGCATAATGTTCACGACTTAAATTCCCAGAGGGAAAAGTACTTTTTCTCTGTATATTTAATTGCTCATTTACCTCTGTGTCTCAGCTTTCATACTGTAAGAAACAGGGTGTAATCATTCTCATCCTTTCCTCCATTTCCCCTCCCTTTTTTTTTTTAATTTTAAAGTTACCACAATCCATATCCCCACTTACCCTTCTGGTACAGTCTCAGGAACAAAAGTCTGGCTATGCATTGGAGCAAAGGCAAAATATATTCCCTCAGTTAATCTAAGTGTAGTGCAGGCTCAACAAGTCCAGAGTAGAAAACTGTTCATAATGGCAAAGATGGAGAAAAGGCTTATGGAGGCAATCTTAAATTCAGTACTTACTTGGTAAGTATGATGTGATTAAGACAAGAATTCTTAATTTTCACATGTAAAACATGAAACCAACAAATACCATTAAAATTTCAACCTGATACATGCATGTTTTAATTTCATTTTAGATAATTTTAGCCTCAGCCTCACTGCACCAAAAAATTAATAGAAAAAGTTCCCTTTTCCCAGATCTGTTAAGAGGATTTCTCAGTTACTTGCAGACTTTCCTCTCAACTTCAGTCCTTAAAAGTATACCCTTCTTACAAAGAAATAAGCAAGACTTACTTCATCTAGCAACCAGAAAAAGTTCACAGGATTCTGCATTTCTAGATGTCAAAGACTCCCCTTATTAACTTCACCTTGAATTCTTCTTATTAAAACAAGGCAATGAAAGTTGATGCTGAAGTTCACATACTTCAACTTATGCAAGATTAAGATAATGTCCAGAACTACAGAGATACTGATCTAGAACTATTAGAAACAAGTAATGAGACTTGGGGAAGAAAAGGTTCCATTCCACTGGGAAACAATCAAACATAAAACCCCACAACAAACCCCCGAATATAAATTCTTCATAAACAGTTGATTTGGTTATTTTCCCAGCTACAGCTAGTCCCGAATTTAGTCAGGACAAATATAAGGACTGGATTTTAAGGCTGAGTTGCAGACAGCATGACAACACTGAAACTGGGCTTCTCATGGAGGACATTATGTTCTATTTTGGTCATTTTAAACTGAAAGGCAAATATTTGGCATGCAAGGGAAGAACATCAAGGCAACTGAGTTAAATGCAATATTAAAACCCAGACACATACCAAGAGCAGAACGGCAGATAAGCATGTTAAGGTAAACAAGTATAGCTAGTCTAACTGGTAAGCAGAAACAAGAAAGAAAAACTGTTAAAACTACTGTTGTGATAAACTTCTACTATTTTTAATCAAAATTTTTAACCAAGCCTCATTTAAGTGGCAAAGTCAGCTAAGGAAACATTAGATCAAAGACTACCTATGCAACCCCAATTCTGTGACTGTGGACAATTCACAATAGTGCAATATTTGATTATGATAATGCACTATTTCCTCACAATAACCCCACTTAATTTTGCACATAGAATGGATATGCCTAAGAAAATGGAGCTAAGAATGCACTTGCAATGAAAATGTTGATGCATTTCAACTCTCAAGTATTTTACCATCAAATCACACTCTTAACATTAAGGAGGTGAAAAAGAAAAAAGTACCTATCACATCCCTGACTTTTAAAGAGCAGACATACATCTACACAATGAAATATGAAACTTTGTGTATACGGAAATGTAATGATAACATGCAGTAACTGAAGGCAACTTCAAAGTTAGAAAAGTTAAGAACCTGTTTTTTCAACATGTTAAAATAGTAGAATCATAAAAACTGAAGTAATTTTTAGCATTACTGTTCAAAACTCAAACACAAAAACAAGATTAAGAACTTCAAAGCTTTTCACGAACATGCAAGAAAGGTAATTTTAAGTTCAAAAGAAAAACAGGAATGATTTGGTACAGTACCTGACTAACTCTATTGACTTCCTCCTCCTCTTCTTCAGCTTCTTCCCCAAAGGAAAGCAGGTTAAAGTTTCTTTAAGAGAGAAAACACGTTTTCTACTAAAACTTTAAATACTGTCTTATTAACATTCTATAAACTTTAAACATCTTACTTTCTTACTTTATGCGATTTAAAAAATAAAAATACTTTCTGTCCTGCTAAATGTACCAATTTCAAACAACATGTTGTTTTGCAATAAATCATGAATAATTAGAGAAGCATGTTCTATTCTATTCCTGAGACAAATTAATCAGGATAGCTAAGCATCATTTACAAAATGGTAAGACAAAATTTAAGAAATTCTGCCTTGACGTAACTTTCAGAGACTCAAATGCTGACAGCTCTGAGAACAGAGCAGTTGCATTTTTTCCTTTTTTTTTTTTCCTCCAACAGAGCAACACTAAACTACCAAACACAAAATTTTCAAGATATGACAGCTCAGAAAGGCATCAGCGCATGCACATTTGCAGAATGGAATTAAAAGAAATAATTATCTTCAATTTTTGTTTTTGAAATTTATTATTTTCACTATGTTGAAACCAGCGTGTTTGCAACATGTTGTATTTCTGTCCAACAAAACTGACAGCATACACGCACTTCAGGTGTCCTAAGCGAACCATATTCTGGGTTGCATCAGGAGAAGTGTGGCCAGCAGGTCGAGGGAGGGGATTCTCCCCCTCTACTCTGCTCTCCTGAGACCCCACCTGCAGTGCTGTATCCAGCTGTGGGGTCCCCAACACCATAAGGATATAGACCAGTTGGAGGGAGTCCAGAGGAGACCACGAAGATGCTCAGGGGGCTGGAGCACCTCTGCTATGGGGACAGGCTGAGAGAGTTGGGCTTGTTCAGCCTGGAGAAGAGAAGGCTCCGGGGAGACCTTATTGCAGCCTTCCAGTGCCCGAAGGGGCTACAAGGAAGCTGGGGGGGACTTTTTACAAGGGCCTGTAGTGACAGGACAAGAGGTAACAGGTTTAAATTGAAAGCGGGGAGGTTTAGATTAGATATCAGGAAGAAGTTCTTCACGGAGAGGGTGGTGAGGCACTGGAACAGGTTGCCCAGAGAAGCTGTGGATGCCCCATCCCTGGATGTCTTCAAGGCCAGGCTGGAGGAGGCTTTGAGCAACCTGATCTAGTGGAAGGTGTCCCTGCCCATGGCAGGGGGGTGGGAACTAGATGGTCTTTAAGGTCCCTTCCAACCCAAACCATTCTGTGATTCTCTTCCTTTTCACTGCATGTTTATAACTAAAAAATTTCATTCACAGAAATGGAAACTTCCCATGTTAAAATGAATGCCTTTTTCTAAGTATTTTAGTGGGAGAGCCGTCATAGCTGACAAGTTCAAAAACCTCAAACAACTGAACTACAACCTAGGTATTAGGTCTTACTAACTTCAGAGCTATTCCAGTCACAAAAGAAAAACTGCATTTTCTTGACCATGGGAAAGGCTTAAGCGATCTTTTACTCTTTTGCAACAAACTATCAGCATGCATGATACAGTTACAGATCCACTGATGCACAGAAACCACTTCAGTCAGAGCAACCCGATTTGTATGATCTCTTTAGAAACAGAGAAATAAGTTTTAAGAAGATTAGAGAATGTTCCCCTGTGCATTGTGGTGAAGCTCTGTATCTCAAAAGCAGAAACAGTACATTACCAAGCTGCAAATTAAAGGCGAAAGAAAATTAACCACCAGTTATGCTGTATATATTTACTTTGTGCCTTTTACTTTCGACTTTTTAGTTTCTTCTTCTGGTCTGTCTTTCTTCAGCTTTCTATTTGGTCTTGGAACAATGTCATCAAAAGGATTAAACAAAACCTGTTAAAAAAGTAATATTTTAGACACATCTTTAGTAAGTATTCTGTTATAATTAAGTGATTCAGTATTTTAAAACAATATATAAAAATACCTGCCAAGTTTTCGTACTAGAACACAGTTTTTCTGAAGACTATGAACAAAAGAATTTTAAAACTTTAAGTTTTAAACCAGAATATACGCACCTCACTGCTTCTTATTTTGTGTGGACTGAGAGGTCTCTCTTCCTTGTCAACTTCTACTTCAGCCAGGCGCAACATGTTATATATTGTATCCCCTGTAACCTGACAAATTTATAAAAATGGCTTAAAAGTTCTTGTCTATAATTTTTGTTCATTATTCTGCAAAATGCAAGGCAACTGTTACGTAAAGAATTTTCAAAATACAAATTATATAGGATTTTTTTTTAATTTAATAGCAAAAGTTGAAGGATTAAGGCAGCTAAACCTGCATTTTTGAGAGCACATGCAAGTGAAGATGTCAAATTCCTACTGTGACCTGTGAAACAGGAGAATAAAAACCACTGTGAAATAAAAAAATAGTTGGTTTACTTTCTTTCAAGTAAATCATGAGAGTGGTCAATCCATCTTACATTTTTCATTTTCCTGATTCTTCTTGGGTAATTAGAATTTATAAACAGAATTTTCTAAAATGTCACCAATCTTAGATGAAGCGATTAATAAGACAGAGCCATAATAATTTTAGTAAGATTCAAAGGAAGCACAACACAAACTTATAATTTAGAAGAATAACAACAGTAAAGCAGATAATTATGGGAACAACCCATAGAAACATTTCTACCAGACATGGGAAACAAAGAGAATGGGGCTTATAAAGCAGTGAAATAAATTTCAAATGTACATAGCAGCAACAACACTAAAACAGGCTTTGAATACAGAGAAACTTAGGTCAAAATCAAACTGGGACTCTAGTGCGTGTAGCAGACCTTTCCAAAGATTGTGTGCTTGTTATTAAGTTCATCTGCACGACCCAGTGTAAAGAAAAATTGACTCCCGTTATCATGGGGCCCAGCATTAGCCATAGCAACAAGTCCTCTTCGATTAAACCGCAATCGTGAGTGGAACTCATCCTGGAAAAGACAGAAAGAACACTATTTAAGTACATAACTACCTTTTCACTTCTTTATCTATGGCTTATTTACATCAATAGGCAGAAGCAGAAAATATGCTGTTAATTTTGTTTTAAATTCAGACAGTAATAAAACCAAAGTATTTTGAAACTTAATGCCCCACTTGTACATAAAAGTTTCTACTTTTTAGCAGAAAATATTATTTTAGTCAATGTGTTTTCTTCTTAGTGCCTATAATAATGCAACAAGTGAACAACGTTCTTCCAAAAGAAACCATAAGGACATAATCAACTAACACCAAAGAAAAAAATTAGAAACTAGTGTCTCAATACTAGAAAGACATATGATTTAATAAAAACTAAGCCTTGTTAACTTCCTCTTTTTCCAATCATCGCTAGTAGTCAATTGTTATTCATTATTTTTGTTGGAACTTATCCCCCCTAATATTAAAGAAAAAATCCAAAACATTTATAAAAGTAACAGCATTTCCAATATTTCTTGTAAAACTATCATTCTTGTTAGCCACATTATTTAGGGGAAAAATCCCAATTCATGTAAAATACCTAGACGCTCAATAACAGGTTGCAATAGTACAGCATTGCAAAAAAACATGAGAACATCTTCTGAACCACAAGATAACAGAATAGGACACCTTTTAAAGAAAGGTGAAAGTTGTGAGCAATCTATTAATTCCATGGTAGTATCACAATTCTAAATACTGCAATATTGAGATACCACCAATTTTAAGCAGCGATACTACTACTATACTGGCAATATCTGTTTTGTTCTCTGCTCAGGTACCAATCTCTTCCACACACTTCATGTTTGTGTCCAATGTATGAGTCTACTTTAGCAACAGGGAGACAGAAGGCCCAAAGCCAGGGTATGCAGGTTCAATCTTGAGTTAAAGGTGTCTGCACCATCTGAAATAAAACAATTGGGCAGAACAGAGCACAGCTGCTGTGTGTGTGTAGCTTCACTCAGGATCTGAGCCTCCTGGTTGAGATGAACCTTGCTGGTAACAATAATACCAATAAATACATATACAACACTCAGAAACCTGTGCTAAATGAGATGCCGTATGCATAAACAATGTACATTTCTGCATCCAAGTTTGTCACATCTCAACACCTACTCTTCACTTTTCCCTCTCCCTATCTGTGAAGTACATGCTAGTAAGGTTATACATTCATTGCAATATCAGAACAGCTAGATTTAAGAATTCTCAATTCAAAAACACATATTCAAAAGTAGTGAAGCAACATGTAGAAGCAATTACTGTACAGGTATAATGTTGCTTTTCTAAGGTCTGTTTTCTCACAACCTAACATGGTAAGAAGAACAACTGACAGAGAATAGCCAAAAACTAATGCATAAGATATACAGACATGTACCTTGAAGGGAGCGCCATAGATTGAATCTCCACCTGATCCAGTACCAGTGGGATCACCACCTTGCACTATAAAGTCAGGCACTACTCTGTGAAATATTGTGTTATTGTAATATTCTAAAAAAAAAAAAAAAAAAAAAAGGAAATCAAAAAGAAGAGGATATTAAATACATGTAAGTTGTCTCAAAATCAAACTTTCATACAGATTATGCAAAGAGGTCCAGAGACTGAATTTCCAGAAAGCAAGTACTGTAACTGGATTCTGCCATTTCCATTGGGTTTCCTCCTCCTTCCACTGTCTTGATCAGTGTGACTGTATTTCAGCTACTGAGAGCTATTGTTGATGAGAGTTATGAAAAAAAAACAAAACCCAAGGTGTCCGATGTGTCTGTTGCAAAAGACACTGCACATCACTGACAAAATGATATTGACGAATTATTTTCTTGTCAGCTTTCAAGTTTCATCACTTGAATGATACTACCAACCTACATCAATTTAAAAGCAGAGCTAAAATTATTATGGTCTGTCCCAGCCAACATTTCACATACATCGTTAGCCATATCCATACACCAAATGATTAACATTTTCACTCATCAGCATGGAACACAGGTGTCACACTTCTCACCACCTTCAGTGTACTTAAACCGATCATTTTCACATAATGAAATATGTGGTACATTTTGCTCCCTACATTTTCTTCTTTTATCTGTCTTTCAGGTAAGGGTTAGGAAATTCTAAGAAAACAAAAGGAATGAAAACTTAACTTTTACATATATTTCTTGTTGATTTTTTCAAATAAATAAAAATAAATCTGCAACATGCTCCAAGACAAAGGAGGATCTGCAAATGTTACAGCATAGCTAGATATATTCACCGATGGTTATATGCTCGGATACATAGGAAAAACACCCAAATTTACTAGACAAAGCACAGAATCCTACACAAAGGTCAGACAAACTCAGAAAGGAATTACAGCCTAGTTCTTTAACACTAATTGTAACTGAACTCCTAGGACTTAGAAGGGTTAAGAAATTTATTTACTATTGCACAAATTCTCCACATTAGGTGTAAGAACACAGAACAGACTGGATCTGTGCTAGAGGCACAAATCCTAGACTGCTATTTTGCCTTAACAGAGAAGGGCTAAAAGAACTCAACCACTCTATAAACGCATAAATGGGATAACAGCAGCAGCTAGAAAACCCATAAAGGCACCAGGTCCTTCAGAAATTCCTGTTACAGATTGTGCAATAGGGAGCTTCTCATACCCACTATTTTAGTGAAGAGTGTTACAGAGCTTCCATCAACATAAAACTAGAGCAAATGGAACATCAGAAGCACTAATGAAAAAAACCGAAAAGGTAGGAAAAATACTGACAGAGAAATAAGAATTTTTGGAGGATATCAGTATTGCATCACTGCCTGTTCATATATACGTTAAAGAAGTAGTTATACTTTGTAGAGACTTGCTGAAGATAAGCCTTCCAAAGCCTCTAAACATACAAGTTTTCATTAATACTGTCATCTGCCACATTTGAGAAAACCATCCAGTATTTTTTCTACCAGGTTCTTTAGTAACCTCGAAAAACACTGTCTGAGTGTTCGTTAATACTTTCTAAATAAAAACAAATGCATTCATATATCAAAGTTAAAACATAGTTATGACTTCTGTTTTACATAAAAGGCACAAAGATTGAACATGAAATACTTTCAACAACTCCTATCCCATTCAGTCATTACCTTCCATACAAAGCTGGATGAAATTTCGACATGCTTTTGGAGCCTCTTTTGACCATAATTCTATATCTATATCTCCTGCTGTTGTTCTCAGCAAAACCTATCAAAATACAGATAAACACACCATTAGTTTTATAGCAACTCAGTGTTCTGGTTTTAGTCAGGACAGAGTTAATTTTCTTCACAGTTACTGGTGCGAGGCTAGGTTTTTGGATTTGCCCTGCAAATAGTACTGATAAGGCATTTTTCAGATGGTGTTAAGGAGTGCTTGAACCAACCCAAGGTATTTTTCAGCTTCTGATACTGCACCAGTATTCCCAGCCTTCTCACAACAAGCAGGGAGAGGGCTGGGGAGGGGTGGGCACCACGCAGTTCAGACAGCTAACCCAAACTAACCAAAGAAGCATTTAATTCCTTAACACGTCATGCTTAGTACATAAGTACTGAGTAAGTACACTCTCATACTGGGAGTGGGCTGGGGGACTGTAGCTCACTTGTACATTCGTGAGCTGGTGGGTCAGTTGGCTTTCCCAGTCGTGCTGTCACTCATGGGGCTTGCTCGGACTCTGCTGCAATCTCTCTTGGGCTCTCTGGCTCTGATGCTCACTATTCAGGACCTGGCTGTGTGTCAGTAGGTAGGTGGTGAGCAACTGTATCGTATGTTTTATTTTCTATTATTTTAATTACTTAGAAGTAGTACTATTGTTAATATTATTAGTATCACTATTATATTCATTTATATTCAATTATTAAAAAGTTCTTAATTCACGGGCTTCCTTGTCTTTTCCTCCGATTCTCCTCCTCCACTGGAGGAGGTAACAGTGGCAGACATTCAAGTGTGCCAGGTAGCTACTGTTCATTTTAGATAGAATTGCCTAAGATACAGTTCTAAACTGATATCCAATGACCTGGAACCTGATACGTGACAGATACCATGTTTCTGGATAGCTCAGTAGAGCATGAGACCCTTACTCTCAGGTTTGTGGGTTCAAGTCCCAGGTTGGGTGACAAAAAAGGAATGTCATGGTTTAACCTCTGCTAACAATTAAGTACCACATGGCCACCCGCTCATCCTGCTCCCCAGTAAAGTACCCCGCAGCTGCCTGCTCACCTTCCCCCCGCTTCCAGTGGAGGAAAATCGGAGGAAAAGACATGAAAACTCATGGATTAAGAACAATTTAATAACTGACTAT